AACTATTGAACATGTAAGTGGATCTGAACAATCAACTCATACATGTTTATGGTTAGATTGTTGTCGAAATGGTCGAGCATTTAAAGCAAAATATAAATTAGTTAATCATATACGTGTTCATACCGGTGAAAAACCATTTGCTTGTCCATTTGCACGTTGTGGAAAAGTATTTGCACGTTCAGAAAATCTTAAAATTCATAAACGAACTCATACAGGGTTAGTTTTATATTTCAAATATTTTTCTATTTAAACTAAAACATTTATCTTTTTTAATTTCTATAGAGAACGACCATTTCGATGTCAAATTTGTGAACGATGTTTTGCAAATAGTTCAGACAGAAAAAAACATCAACATGTACATACATCAGCTAAACCATATAATTGTCGAATAAATGGTTGTGATAAAACTTATACACATCCATCATGTAAGATATTTATATAAATAACGAAAGAATAGAACGAAAATATCTATATTTATTTCATAGCATTACGTAAACATATGAAAATACATGAATCATCATCTGAATCTACGAATGAATCACGTACAAAACGATTAAATAATCAACAACGTACTTGTTCACCACAAATAAATAATTCTTTAACAACAGATAGTTGTTCACAATCACCATCTTCATATGAAAATCTAGCACCAATAAAAATTCAACCATCTTATATGCAAACTATGAATGTTTATCATCATCATCATCCAACGAATTTTCCACAACATTATACTGAACTTAATTTTTAAAGAATATGTTTCATGGCTCTTTTTATATATATAAATAAAATATATTCGTTCACCGAAATTAATAATCGTATAACGAATATCAAACATATAATTACTTTCTCTTCAATGCGGATGGATCAAATATTGAAATAAAACTTTCTTATTGAGACCTCCGACAGCGATTTTTCTTTCGCACCTATTGATTTTCGTATTCTATTGTTCAACAAATAATCCTAGCAGGGTGCCATGTCTATACAAATGGCCTTTCAATTACAAAGGTTCATATAGAATTAAACATCTTTCTTGTAATCAATTTTTCAATTGTCTACTTATATACATATGATCATCATTTTCCACTGCTGGATATGCTAATTGTTAAGACAAAAAATCAAAACAAATGTTTTATATCGAACTTTATTTTTTAAATAAAAAAAAAGAAACGAAAAGAAAATGGAAATGAGATAAAGCACACGTTCTTTTTTTGAAAGAAGTTTATGAATGATAAAATAACCAGATCATGTTGGATAGATTTTGTGATGAGAATGTAATTGATTTAGTTCTTTTTATTACGACTTAATGATATTGACACTAAAATATTAATCAAAATTATATTGATGTTCATTATTTTATATGAGCGAAATTAGAGAAAATCGAAAGGTATTTTCTGTTACGGTATTAATCATTTCAGGACCGGCAGCTTATTTTAAGAGAAAACTACAAATATGTCAAATTTATGAAAATGATATTCTTTGAAACAGCTGAGAGATTATACGAAACTGTGAGGACAATAGACTGATAGTTTACCTCTCATATGTGACTACTTTGATCGGTACTCTTAAATGAATTCTCAAGCAAGTTACAGACACAATTGTAATAATTCAGGATTTTTCCTGGTTTTTTATCTTACGCGGGAACCTCATCAGGTGATACCCTCCGTTTGACCTCATATTCTGCCCATATGTAAGGCTCATATAGTAGATAAAAACCCCAAAAGGGTTCGTCCTATTGCCTTCTTGATATTGAGATATTGTGATTCTAAGGTACTGAGATATCCTGATGCCGTGGTCCCCCCCCCTCAGGGAAGTGCAAAAAACTAATGTTGGAATTTTGACCTGAAACATTGTATACAATGAAGTCTTGCTGAGAGTAGTTTACTTTGAAAGTTTTAGACTTACTTCTTGTTTCTATCCAGCGAGACGACTATGAAAATCTAATGTCACCTGCTAGCGCTACAAGAGCTAGCATATGACATTCCTTTTTAGATTTATGTGTATTCAGCAAAACTACAACTCTCACAGTAAACTATTCTGAGTAAGACCTCATTGTATACAAAGTTCGAGGTCAAAATTCTAACATTAGGTTTTTGCACTTCCCTGAGGGGCACCACGGTATTAGGATATCTCAGTACCTTAGAACCACAATATCTCAACATCAAGAGGGCAATGGGACGAACCCTTTTGGGGTTTTTATCTACTATATAAGCCCTACATATGGGCAGAATATGAGGTCAAACGGAGGATATCACTAGGCGAGGTTCCCCCGTTAGACATGGCATAAGTGGTCTTATAATCATATCAATAACGAGGAAAAATTCTTATAGCTACATTTGTAGAAGATGTAGGTCATAATACGAATGTTTACTGCGAGCCCCAAAGAGTTAAAAAATTCTCGACCAGATCAAAGAATATTTCTATACTCAACATCGAATAGTAAATGAAAATTTTGAGTGTTTTCGAATTCTATAAAAACTACTGCAAAAGATTAGCACATTACGTATTTAATAACTGTATATTAAAAATTTCGTATAGATGAGTAGCGAAAGAAAAAGAAAGCAGTTTAAACAAATAACAAATAACTTACTGATAATGATAATTAAAACTGTAACCACAATACCAGCAATGCATACATTTGTCTAAAAAGATAAATAAAAGATTTTAAAAGAATTAAAGGACGTGTTAATACTTTAGCATTTTTCCACCAGAATTTATTTCGTAATTGTTTCGTTGTTTGATTATATGTTGTTGCTGATGTTTGAAGATCATCAGCGCGTGTTACAAGATTATTTAATGCAACATCACGATCTAATAATTTATCAATATTTTGTTTCATAACACCAACGACTTCTTGAACTTGACCATGAAGTCTGGAAATAAAAGAATTTTTTTAATTAAAAGAAAATTTAATCTTTTTTAATATATTTACGCTTTCACATTTTCACCACCTGTTGATCGTGTATTTTGTCTAAATAAAATAAAAAAAAGAATTTTATTGAATTTATACAAATAATCACATACGAATCTACACGAATATCGAGTGCTTCATCATCATCCTCGCGAATAGATGACTAAAAATAAAGAGAATTTATTTGAATTAACAAAAATAACGTAAACTTACATAATTTTGTGGACGAGAGGCAAAACCACCAGCTGCAGCCATTTATTTTTTATGAGAAAAAAAAGTTAACTTGTAAATGTATATTTTAGATTTGTACAAAATTCATAATCTAAAAATATACTTTTTAAATTAATTCTACTAATATATATTACGGACTTCAAGTATTGGGTTTAGTAAAAATGCTGACAAGACTTTACTTTATTATTTGTAACACTCTCTTGTGAATGACAACACGTTAAAAACTATTTACTATGTCTCATGTGAAAGTAGTTAAAACACTAATGTTCATTTAGATCAGAGACGGCGGAGCGTCATTAACCTACGTGAGGCTCACAACTTTTATTTAAAATATGAAGCAAAATATAAGTCTTCTTTTTATTAAACCTCAATGAAACAAATCAGAACATACCAAAAAATAACTTTCTCTATTCGTTCTTCGATGCGAAAGTTGAACAGAGACTGTTCTTTGTATATGTGTCAAACAGAGAAAAATGGATAAGTATTTGGACGTTTTTCAGCTATTAGATACACTGTAAATAGGATATAAATCAATTCGATCACTACTGAGCTACTTCTTTATTGCTGTAATAATATACATATGTGTATATGCGCTTGAAAAAAACCAAACGTTCTGGGAATAAAACATATATAGATGAAATGAGGAAAAAACTTGAGTATCATAAAGACAGGGGAAATATCCAAGTAAAAGAAAAGAAAAACATAAAAAATAGGTGAAGCGCATCAAAAGGTAGATATGTCAGAATATATATCTAGTTATGTTAGATACCGAACATAACAAATTCTAATAATAAAAGATAATATTCAGTCTGAAAATAAGTGAGGCTTAAGCCTCCACTAATTTAGATTAGAAAGATCGATCTATTTATCCATTTTAATTCATTAGACATGGGAATAAGTATAAGCATCGTACATTCAGAACTACTAAAAAATACGAAGATACTAATAACAACTCGTGAAAAATAAGATGAAACTTAATGCTATAGTTACGAATTAAAATTACACTTCAACGGTTAGTTTTTTTCTTCTATTGCTTCTATATAGTATATCTGATCTCCTATAATACAACTAAAGAGAAAAACGAATGAATCATAGAAAGAATTTTTATTTAACAACAAAAAAGAAGAGATATTCAAGGAACATTTATTTATCTCCATTACTTTCTAATAATGGATTATTATCTAAACGACCAATTTCATCTTCGAAATTAATCGGTAATTTTACATCAATAAATCCTACAAGTTCAAGTAAAGAATAAAGTACAACTTTCGATTGTTTTTGATAAATCATTAAACGTTGATTTAAATGTGTTAATTCAGATTTTTGTTGTTCATATTCGATATTTAATTGATCTAATTTTTTTTGTAAAATATCACGTGATGGATAACGATTAATAACATTAAACATAGTGAAATAATCTGATTGATGACGACGTTTTAATTTAGCTAATTTTAAATATTTTTTTCTTTCATTTAAACTTTGATTTATTTCTATTATTGAATCATTTAAACGAGATAAGTTTTCTTCATTTGATAAAATTTCTTGATTTAAATGTTGAAGATTAATATTTATTGACGATCGATATTGTAAATCATGTTCATTAAGACGTTGACACAGATCATCGAGAGAAGTTGTTGTTGTTGTTGTTGATGAAGATGATTCATCATCCATTTGTGGATAACAAAATGAATGAAAACGTTCGGATAAATTAAATAAATATAGATCTTCATCATGATCTAATTTTTGTTTTTTTCGTGTCGTCGACATTTATTCTACAAAAATTAAAGTTAGTACGAATTCATGATTAGTAATAGAAAAATAGTTGACTAGTAATATTTATTATGAAAAAACGTGACATGACAAAGGTTGGTTGAATATTTCAATATCAGCTGCGTCAAAGTAGAACAAACAAGCACTGTTATGATTGGACTGATATTCTCCAATACGATAATCATTAAAATAATTTAAATTCTTTATAAATATCAGATTTTATTAATAATTATCGCAAATGAACATTGTCATTTCGAGTTATGGAATGAATGGAGTATCATAGTCTTTATAAACTACTAGCGCCATCTTTTGAAAAACGTATAGTTTTAAGAATGGAGAGCCTTCGATTTGAATTTCTTGATATGTATTAGATTATCAGAACATTATAGTCTCGCAGAAACTATATACATACAATGAAGAATTAGAACAATATTCGTACAAGAATCTTAGGATGATGTTATATCTTTATACTGCATACGTGAAGAAACCAGCGAAAAAAGATTCGCAATTATTTTTTAATCATTGAATCTGTGTTACAAACTTGCATTTGTGCTTGATATATATATAATAATTCTAAGATGATCCCAGGTGAATGATTATGAACGAATACAGAGTATCATACATGTTTTAGTTATTAGTCAATAGCTTATTCCTTGAAATATTACGAATTAAACTATTTTAAAAGTTTAATATTTCGAAAAGACATTTGCACCGATGATTACCTTCTAAAAGTTCAATTTTGAACAATCTATTACAGCGTAATTCTATAGTACAGTAATCATCATGCGCGTATAAAACATTATAATATCTTAATCGGAAGATCAGTTAAAAAGAAAATG